GGCTGGAAACAAATCAGCTGCAAGCAAGAAAGTGCTTTTCCGTAAAAATGTATAGATTTAATCGATTTTACAGGTATGAGGGATTTTTTTGAATTGGTAAGGAATGCTGTACTATTTTCATTCAAATGGGATTTGCCTGTTTTATAAATATTTAATACTGAACACATTTTAAAATGATTTCTTATAGAGTTTGCCCACCATTAATAAATAAAATAGAAGTGACACACGTTTGATGAAATCCCGTATCACTTTGGTATTGACATGGGGCGTATAACTTTGATATGGTTAAGAATGCATAAAACTATATTTAGAATTTAGAATATTTAATCGAAAATTTTTCTTTATACAATGATTTCTATTTAAAGTAAGGGAGAGAAATTATCATATTGATGTGACTAACTTGTAGTGTTAGGATATAAATGAAATAAATGATTGAAATGATACGTGGGTAAAACAAGTTCATTTCATCTGTGAATGTTAGATAGAAAATGTATTTATCTGTTCAGAAGTTCCCAGATTTTGGCCAACCTTTGTGTGAAAACTCTGACCCTATAAAGAACATGTATTCTTATCGCCATCACCAGTTGGTATGCGATTCAGGAAAGAGATCGGCTAACCAAAGTTACCCTAAAGCACACACCATACCATCTACAGGTTCTGATCTCGGCTGCACTGCCCCATCATTGACTGCGTCATCCGGCCACCAGGTGGCGCTATGGCTGGGATTCTGGACCCAAATTCGCTTCCCACTCGGATCGTCTCTTTTCCAACCTTTTCGGGCCTTTATGCAATGAGCCGCGCTTGCCACACCTGGCAGGTAGCCGGGCATCTGGCCGAATACTTGTAGGCCGACTTTAGTAGGCTTGAGAAACTTTCACCGAATTTTTCAAGTGACAAGCACTCGGAATTCATGGATCAGCGACGACAAATAATGGGTAGTACCTACTTATAACCGAAATAAAGGCAAATATACTCGTGCATGTCGGTCCGTCGACAATTTCGCTCGTTCGAAGGTCAGATGTACGCGCTGGTCGCGAAACTTCTCCCAAAAATACCGATGCGGCGTTTCGAAATTTAGCCAGATAAACAGCATAATTAATATACAATTCGAAACCCGTTTCAACTGGGGTCCGTTAAGTAAACGGCCCGCCGACAATTGTATAATTGTATAATTTCGGGCAAAAAGGGCGTGTGGTGTGTGCATTGCGCAAATCCGCCTCCATGTGGTCTTTGCTGTTTTGCCTCTGCAGTCGCCTTCACCGTTAAAAGGAGGGAAAATAAAATTAAATTGAATTAAATGGTATGAAAAGGCAACACAATCGAAACGTGGTCAAGGTCGAGTGGCTTTGAGCGGCCCAATGGGACCAGACACGAGGTACCAAACACCAGACACCTAAGCTCTAAGCTCGGTGGCTCAATTAGCTTCAATTCGATTGTGGTCGTCTTTGGCGATTAGTGTCTGCATGGAGTGCACAACAGGCACCCATGGAGCACCAAAGAGGGGAGGACGAGGCCAAAGTCCTGGACCCACTCAAATGGCATGGGTGTGTGTATGGGTATGGGTATGGATTTGGCATCGGTGGCCAAATCAATAGGCCCCATTACCGAACTGGGCAAGGGTAATCATCGCATGCGATGACCTGGCACTGCGTGGATTTCCAAAAATTCCGAAATTGAATCTGCCGGGCCAGGCACCGTCGCTGGGCTTGTGATGTGGTTGCATAATCACATCCACGCCGAGCTCTTTGGCCTCATGCTCGTAATTTCATTTGGGTTTTGTATTTTCGGGCAGGCACGTGTGGCGGGGCATTACTTCGCCGCTGCCCCCGGAGCTGACCATTGGGATGTGGAAAGTCGGCCCGGTGACAGCGCAGCCCTGCCAAAAAAAGGACGAAGTACTGGCCCTTCCATAATCATGAGAAATGGGAGTTTAAGTCGGAGTTTAAAAGGTTTTCGGGAATTAATTATGTGCAATGTGGAGTGACAAATGAGAAACAGCCGAAGTGTGTACTTGCCCCAGGACTTATCCCTGCAGCCAACACGTACTAGACATTTCTCAATGAAAACAAATTTGCCCTAGGCCTGTTAAACTAAAAGCAATTTTTACACCTGAAAAACGCATGGTAATGTACTTTTAGTAAAAGCCATTTCAGGTGAAATCCAATGGATAGCTTTGTGTTCAAAAGTATGCTGCAGAAAATTTTTTCTAAGAACCCACTTAATCAAATCCTGCACTGATAAAAAAAAATGTCTGCTTATTAAATTCAATATTTTATATTAAATACATGAACTAAACACAAAAGCTTAATGTTCAACACAAAATATAATAAAAACCAAATATTTAAATGAAGGTAGAAAATATTAGTTTTGATGTTAGTCATATTTAACTTTAAAATTTTACGTCTTTAAAAACAATAAATCCATAAAAAATTACAATTTTAGAATCTTTAAGTTATCTATAATTGTTGATTTAAATATTTTCATATTTTAAGTAGATAAAAACTGCAATAGATGAAAAACATGGCAAAAAATATTTAAATTGAATATGGCATTTTTTGACCTACTATTTTTTTCTTGTCAGTGTAGATTTGCATTTCTGTTTTACATTTTGAATACATTTTAAGCCCTTCCAAGTACCAAAAAATTCATTCAAATTTTGTAACTCTTTTTGAGTATTTTATGAGCTGCTGGGAATTTAAATGTTTTTAATTCTTGGACAAACATGGCTGACGAACAGTGTTATCGCATTAAGGCATTCGTAAGTTTATAAACGAAAATAGCTACGTGGAAGTATCTGCTGTCAATATTTTTATTCGTTTAATAAATCGGATTACGTTGGGCAATCTGTTACGAGGGCTCAAGAAACGCAGCACAGCCCGAGTCATTCGTTTTCCTAACTGCCTTCTAAGCTGAGCACATCAATAAAATTGTCCACAGCCCGGGTCCCCCGGGAACAGTGCGCAGTCATCTGCGATTTACAGCCCCATCAGCGACCCCGCAGCTCTTTCTCCTGGCACTTGGCAAAACAATAAATACTTTATAAATTTGCTCCCGCTGCGGGAATGCTTGTTTATTAGGAATTGCCTGGGAATTTCCGTCTGCTGACTAGTAGGTTGGAATTGGGCCGGCGATCATCAGGAGAGGCATACGTGACCCGAGAGGCATGGCCATCGTGGCCCAGATGCCGGTTGACCATGATCTGGTTAAAATTCGCAGTGGGCTGGGGCATGGCTCGAATGCCTGATAGCAGACAACAGTAGATTCAAAGTCTTTCTGGGCTCCCTGGACACTGGGTGCTCCGTTTATTATGTGTAATAGCTGCGGTAATTGTCACGTAGCCAACGAAAGGACACTTCTCCGTCCGGCCAGTATCGATTGTGGGGTCGTTTTGTCCTGGGAACAGAGGCCCATGTGCTGATATATGAGTGATATGTGAGCCTTAGTCGGACCAGGAACCCACATTCCACATCCCACATCCACAACACCCATCGCCCGATTACACATGCAGCTACAGTGCGTGGCACCTTGCAGTTGGCCCAAAGCCAGCGGCATTCGCAATTAGGCATTCGCCAATCGGGAGTGATTGCCTGGCCAACCGCAAAGGACCAGGCGACGCACCTGCGACGGAAACAGAGATGGGAATGTGCTACGGATTTCCCCGGCCGCATCCGCAATCGAGTTCATCAATCAGCACCCAGGCTGGCACAGACCAATTCATTTGCTGTCCTCGGAGTGGCAATTGATTTATACCAGTCGAGCCCATCGATCCGTTTTGAACTCATTCCAACTTTGGTCGGATTCGGTGTGCATCATTATTGTTATTTATGGAGGCGCCTTACATGGGCTTGGGACTTGGGATGGATGAGTCCTGCATTTAGACACTTCTTTGTGGGCCGGACGCTCCACTCTGCGGCTGACAGCTCAATAACCAGAAGCTCTGGTGGCCACTCGTTTCACAGACCATCGCATGCAGCAGTGAAATTAATGCCCAACTCATTAGCAGGAACTGGTCAACAATGTGGGCGATTTGCATCTCCATCTCGGTCTTCATCTCCATCTCCCTGCACTTGTGCCAAAATCCTCTGTCCGGGCTCAGGAGTTAATGCCGGGGTGAAGCCAAACTGGCAGGCAATCAATTAGACTCCGACATGGACTTTTGGGTGCCCCAAGTAACAACACATAGTCAGCTGCCCAAAAGTATACAACGCTTGGCTGAATGAACCCGAATTAAGATGTAGTTTTATTTGATTTGATTTTATCCTATTTACATAAAAACATTGAGATTTATACATCTATAAATACCATCATAATAATTGCAATTGCCAAGTTCGTTGAAGTGTGTGGGAGCTAAAGTGAAACGCTTGAGTGTTTAATATTTATTTGTTTTGCCAAAATTCCATTAGTCTGCATAAAATTGGATTTTTGGCCCCCGCTGACCCACTTTGATTTCGTTTCGGGTCCGGGTGTCTTATATTATTTTTGGACCTCGAAGTGGCTGGCACTTCCTAAGCTCCGTCTGACAACCTTTTTTGAATGAGGGGAGTCCCGTGAGAGGGTTCCCTGTCTACCCTGTAAATCAGCCTGCTGTCAAATGCTTCTTGATTCGCTGAAACCTTCCACTGCACAGCGGAACTTCTACTTTAGATGTATAAGGAAAAGTAAGAAAAAAAATTGAGTTGTGGGAGTAGCACAATGGTCTGAAAGCTTTGGTAAACATCTAAATATGACACCTACAACTAAAAATACTATTTCTAATTACCAGCGACTCTAACAGCTATCACTATCAAAATAAAAGGAAACCTATTCATTATTTTTATTTACATTCAGAAACATTTTTATATTACACAGAAAATACTTTTAAAAAAAATGTTAAATAAAAGTCAACCATAAAAATCAGTCTGAGACATTTATCATTTTGTAAAAGTCATAAGAGGACCTTAATTTGTGAGCTGTAATAAAATTCAATTAAATTTTTCAAACACTCAAAAATAACGGCCAAGAAAATTTAAAGTTAGTATATTTATTCTTTATTCTATTCTTGTTCTTAGGAAACATATGTCTTGGGCCATTCTTCCCCGAAGAATTCGCGGTATTCTTTAAATAATTACATTTCTTAGTCTTTTTGTATAAAAAAATAAGTATAAAAAATAATATATTTTTCTTTGCCTAAGTAAAAATATAAGATTTTAAACAATAATTGATCAACTTTGAAACCATTGTGCCCACTCTAAAACCCATATACTTCGGTTAATCTTTTATGCCTATGTAAATTTGTATCCCATTGATGTTCGTTCCATTCTCTCACCTTAAAGGTGTAAGAACCTGAAACGCGAGGTTAAAGTCTAATAACTCACACTGAATAACTCGCATTAGCGCAACTCTGAACGCACACTCATATATTAAAAGACTATTTGGTAATACTAAGAGCATTTGGGAGGGGGAACCGCCATGGTTCCTCGCCTGGAACCTACTTTCGTCACCCCAACAACATCCGGCCACATCCACACACATTCAGAACGCGGCGGAATCGTTGACAACCACAGTTTCTATTGCAGTTACATTGCATCATCACAAATGGACGCACCCGATCCGTACTCTTTGGTATACTACAGTGACTCCGACTCCGCCAGTTGCTGACGCCGGCGGCTGGCTCAGAGGCGTGGGCTCTCCAGGATCGTGTGGCTGGACATGACCGAGTTGGCCAGCGCAATGGAGTTACCGGCCACGGACAGGTTGGTCTCGTTCTTGGACCGCCTTCGCCAGAAGCAGCAGGGAGCGCACAGGCGCTCGCACACCCGCATCCCCTTGAAGGTGTCCACGAAGGCGCGCCGGAAGCTGGCGTTCATGAAGCAGTAGGTGATCGGGTTGCAGCAGCTGGAGGAGTAGGCCAGCAGCTGCAGGAAACTGATGGCCGTGTAGTCCACGTACTCGTACACCGCCGGCCCCAGGAGCATGGTCATCGTGTTGATCACGTACAGCGGTGTCCAGCAGATGAAGAACTCCAGCACCAGGACGAACAGCATCTTGACCACCCGCTTCTTGCTCTCCAGGCTCTTGCTTTCGTTGGACCTGCACGGCACAATTGGCAATTTGCATATCCTCCTGGCTGGGATTTTTCTTGAGCACTTACCTTCGCAGGCCCGCCTCCGTGATCCGCAGACTGGGTTGGGATAAGGATTTCCGCCGGGATTCATTGTCGCTCATGTAGCCCTGCTGTTGGGACTGCATCTGGTGGCGCATCCTGTAGACCCGACTGCAGCAGTCGGCGTTTCCGGTTCCGGTCACGGCCGCGGTTCCACCACCTCCGTTAATCTGCTGATGGCGCAGGGACTTCACGGAGGCACTGCGCATGCAGTAGAGGTGCCTTCGTCCTTCGCAGGGAACTCCTCCTCCGATCAGCCTGCGCTTGCTGCCGCAGTGGGTGTAATCCGCTGCAAGGAGCAGGGATAAGAAAGTTAGTTGGAGATTAATAAAACTTAAAAAAGAAGCTTAAACAAGCAAGTTAAAGTGCCTTTTAAGCATGGTGCATCGAAAATGTTGCATAATTTTTGGCAATTTTGATGGTTATTGAAAAGTAAAATCCAATCCAGTTTACATTTAAACGAATCTTTATAAAAGCTTGGTATATTTAGATATCTCATCCAATAGGAAGAAAACATAAAGATTTCTGTGACTGTAACACTTTGTGTTACAAACAGTCAGTCAATTCAACTAACTGCTTAGTCGGATAGTCGGATATTCCCGATACTCTGTTAACCGATTTGAAAATAAAATATATGTAAATAAATAAATTAAATGTATTCAAAACATCATTTTAATTCTGACCTCAATCAAAAAGGCAACAAAATGAAAATCTCCATACAAAAATGACAGAATAAAAATTTCATGAACGAAAATTTTTATGCAGATTTTCATTTCGTGGGGTTTTTGATTGAAGCGAGTACTAGGCACAAGACGATCCGAATTGGCAAAATAAATGCTACTAATGCAACATTTTAGTTCTAACATCAGAACGATTTGTAGGCGTAACAATGCTCAATCTGCGTGTAAAACCTCATCTCTATAGTTTTAATAGTTCCCGAGATCTCAGCGTTCATTCGAAGGGACAGACAGAGGAACTAGCTTAGTCGACTCGGCTAGTGATTCTGATCAATAATATATATGCTTAGCAGGAAACGTTTTTTTACCTCTTACATAATTGCATGATACCCTTTTATTCTACTAATAACGGCGCAAAATCGATAGATAAATTAAAAAAAATTTGTTTACTCAAATTAAATTAAGAATAGCAAGGAACCACAGTTGATCTAAAATCGGTGTTAGCCTACATTTTGAATGCTCCCACTTAACTGCACTTATGACTGACAACTACGTGTCTCTAATCTTGCGTGATTGAAGCATTCAAGTACAGTACAGGTAAGTTGATTGATATATACAGCCATCAAGAGGCTAATGAGCCGTAATCATGAGTCGGAATCACGCACCTCCAAAGTGACGTGGGTCACTCTCAGCTGTTTCTAGCTTCCTGACTCAATTGCATATGCCTGATGTAAGTCGAATGAAAGGGTGCATTTTCCGCTAGAGATCCATTGATGTTACTGCCACTGCTCCTGTGCCTCCTTCTGGTGGCCACTCTACTGCTTTGGATATGGCAGGACAACCACTGGCGACGCCTGGGACTGGAGGGACCATTCGGCTGGCCATTCGTCGGGAACATGTTGGACTTTGCTTTGGCCCGGCGCTCTTATGGCGAGGTCTACGAGCAAATCTACAGGTGAGCTAATGTGCTCCAAAGCTCCCCAATGATTTTCCGACTCTTGCAGGCAGAATCCCGGCCTAAAATACGTGGGCTTCTATCGCTTGTTCAACGAACCCGCCATTCTGGTGCGTGACCAGGAGCTGGTGCGTCAGATCCTGGTGGGCAGCCACTTTGCTGACTGTGCCGATAATGTTGTTAATGTGGACCACCACCGTGATGTCCTGGCTAGCCACAATCCCTTTATTGCCAATGGTGACCGTTGGCGACTCTTGAGGGCCGACCTGGTGGCCCTCTTCACGCCCAGCCGCGTGCGTCAGACATTGCCACATGTGGCCAGTGCCTGCCAGTTGCTCCGGGCTCGACTGCCGGTTAAACGCTTCGAGGCCAAGGATTTGGCCACCCGCTACACGCTGCAGGTAGTCGCCTCCGTGGTCTTCGGCCTGAATGCCCATTGCCTAGGCGACCAGGAAATGGAGGAGGAGAGTACAAGTCGCTGGCTGAAGTGGCTAGCTCCGCTTTTTCAGCCAAGTGCCTGGAGTTTGCTGGAGACCATTGCACTCCTGCACTCCCCTCGTTTGGCCAGCCTCATAGGCCATCGGTTGGTAAAATCACTTCCCAATTTGTAATATCTCATTCATTAACTCCGTACAGATACGTGCCCCTGCCCCTGCAGAATTGGTTTGTGGAGTTGGTGGAAGCGAGGAGTGGCGGCGACAATCTCCTCCAATGGCTGGCGGAGGGCAAACGGACGTTGGGAAAGGACGAGCTAGCCGGACATGCCACCACCCTTCTCCTGGAGGGATACGAAACCTCGGCCATGCTCCTAGCCTTTGTCCTTTACGAATTGGCCCTCAATGAGAACGCCCAGAGAAGTCTACACTTCGAATTGGATGAGGTAGCCCAACGCCACAATGACAATTTGATGGACCACTCGGCCCTAGCCGCACTTCGCTATACTGAAGCTGCGCTCCTTGAGGCACTGCGTCTTCACCCAGCCATGCAGGCTCTCCAGAAGCGCTGCACCAAGCCCTTCACCCTTCCAGCCCAGAAAGAAGGATCTGCCTGCAATCTCAGGGTGTCTCTGGGCACAGTCCTTGTGCTGCCCGTCCAGGCTATTCATCTGTAAGTTACCTTCAACAACTTGAGCAATCTTACAATGGTTTTCCTTGCAGAGATCCCGAATTGTACCCTGAACCCAGCCAGTTTCGCCCAGAGCGCTTTTTGAACCAGCCACCCATGGGCTGCCGTTTTCTGGGTTTCGGCTTTGGACACCGAATGTGTCCAGGAATGCGTCTTGGCTTGCTACAGACGAAAGCTGCCCTGGCCACACTCCTGCAGGACCACTGCGTCCTGCTGGCGGATCAGGACCAGGCGAGGGTGGAGGTTTCCCCGCTAACATTCCTTACCGCCAGCAAGGGGGGCATATGGTTGCGTTTGGAGAGAAGGACTCCCGAATAAGAATAACTCCTTTAGGGGGCAAAGAAATTATGTAGCTTCTGGTTTAAACAAATATTATAGGTTACACAATAAATCAAGCTCGTCGTGGAAGTTACTCTTGCAGAAAGTAATAATTTAAGCCAAAAGTTTGCATGGCGCTGAGAGAGACATTTGCGGCGCCATAAAGAACATATGTTCTTTATCAGCATCACCGCTTGTCACCGTTCTTGATTAAAAAAGTTAAGGATTTCACAAGTGGAAGCGAGGTGGTATTTGAAAGACTTATTTCAAGCAACGAGACTTATGAATTTAAAATCATTCAGAAAAGTTCCTGTAAACGTATCCGAGCACAGCAGACTTAACTGCACCCAAGGAGAACTTTATTCAAACGAATTACGAGGCATCCAGGAAGACGGAAGCTTTTATCCCAAAAGGATACAAAGTCGAAAAAATTCTTAAGTTTATCGATAAGAAACCACCTGAAACTAACAAAATGTTCTGTCGCAACTAAAAGTCTTCCAAATACTTTAAAAATCTGCGCCGAGAGTGTTAAGGTATGACCCTGTATACCCTTGATACTCAAATGCCGTAACTGTCACACACTCGGATAAATTACAAAAGTATGAAAAAGCCCAAAACTATGCTTCACTGAAAAATAAGAATGTTAAAAAAATTATTTTTACGACGGAAACGAACTGTAAGAGCACAGCTTTTCTGAAGCAAAAAGAGATTACGGCCGTACATGTCGACTTTGAAGAAGCCATCAAATTATAACCCACATAGTATTCAAAGATATCTGTCACCCAAAAATCAACCAACCCGTAAAACCAATCTCACCGCACTAAACTTAGCACTGCTAATCCAAAGTCTGATTCCACCCAACACTAACAAAGGCCTTTACGGATCTAAGACGACATCCTTAGCAACGAATTCAAACCCTTTAAGGCCAAAGACAAGCCAGAAAGGTCTACACATAACATTAAGAATCTCACGAACTCAGGTACACAGAGAGAAAGATCCAAGAACATTGTTATTGAATTGAGAACATTCGTTCTTAAAAACCGTGTAAGTAAATTTTGATATCAATGTGCTCAATATTGAAACGAAATAGTGAGAGAAAAGTTAAATTGAGCTTATTTAACTATTTTTAAGTATACACTACGGACTGAACTAATAGTTTATTTGTTGAGATATACAATGTTAATAAATACAAACTTGATTCGAGCAAAATAAAAACATTTTCAACTTAAAAATGTTGTTATATTTTTAAGAACATTTTCAACTCAGATGAGAACGTCAGAATTTTCTCTGTGTAGTTAATAAATTAATTGCTATACTCTCTATTCTACCCAATGGCCTTTCCTATTATCTAACGAGTTTCCAACGGCTACCTCAATAATTATGCACACTTCGTGAAACCCATATGCACTCCCTCCACAATACAAATAAACTTTACATTAATAACTAGAAATTGACAATATGACTTTAAAACAATGAAGCACGAGTGTGGTGCAGAAGGCATAGCTCTACTGTACAAAATAAAAGTGTGTACAGTGTACATCCCTCTAGATATTCAATTGAGAATATAATGTTAACGGGGGACTTCAACAGCTGTCATCAAAGTTGGGGTTCGTTAAGAAACAATAGAACAGATATTGTTAAATTTAAATATTTCACTGAAACGAACATACTTACTCTTAGCGAGAGAGCTCCAACTCACATATTAATGCAAAATGCACTGACTCACATCAATCTCTCTATAAGCACGCCAAATCAGTTGCCCAACTAAAGTGAAAACCTTACACCTTACATGTAACTCCTTTTAAATTTTACATAGGAGATAAGCTCAAAGGTGGTCAAACATCAACACGTTCTGTGGCAGAAAGCCCAAACCTGACAAGCACTGCTAATATGTCCCAACTGACCCATCACGAAACATTAAAAAAAAGTAGAAATCGCTCAGAGCAATCATCTGACAAGAAATCATAAACAATGTTTTAACAAAAAAATGTCTAGGTAGAATCGTAAACTGTCTTCTAATAACCATCCGCAGAGGCAATTGTGATAAATGACAACATCTAGATCTATGTCAACTATCATCTATCAACTACATAGATTTTTAAAGTTGCGCATTAAATTCCGTTAAATGTAGCAACCAATGCTCAAGACCCTATCCTACCTTACTTGGAAACATATACAACACTATTCTTACACCCAGAATAAAATCCGTTCAAAACGTTCAAAAATCAAGACCAAACGTTGTCAAAAAGTGCGTGAGCCCGTTTGTTGACAGTTCATGAACGGTCGTTCGTAAAATGTGACCGAAACTTTAGGTCGGGTTCCGAACGAATGGTGTCAGCTTAAGAACATTTCAGGCTTAACCTGAGAACATAAAAATCTAAAAAAAACGAGGTTTGTGTACACGCTAGACTTTCTCTGGACGCCTGGTAGAGATTTATTTAATTTCCCACCTTATGTTTTGTTATTGCTAGAATTCAATGTATTTTGGATATTTTGCTGAAGACAAAGAATTTTTGTATTAATAGAAGTGTACATATAAACGTTAGAAATAATATTGTTATAAAACTTACAATTCACAACCGTCTTCTCGCGGATTCGAACCTGTGCTACCATGTGTCGGAGGCGGACGCTCTAGCAGCTGGACCACCGAACCAATTTTTCGAGTGCGGACAATCGGGACACTAGACCTACATACATGTTTTTATGAACGATGTTGATAATTTATCGATTTCGATAGACTTTAACACGTCTATCGCAGCTTTTTCATGAACGGCGTTCAATATCTGAGAACATTTTTCGCAATTTGGAACCAAGTTGAAATTGTTACCAACACCGTTCGATTTTCGTGAACAAACGTTCGAAATGTGAGAACTAAAAATGGAGAACGGATTGTTCGCATTTCATGAAAAATGTTCTTGATTTTTTTCGTTCTTTTTTTTCTGGGTGTACCCGCCATACAACTCAACGATTTAAAAAAGCAGCGCAGTCTTACCCATGCACAAACCTTAATTCCTGGAAAACAGGAAGTAGTTGAACTGATCAGACAGAGAATAGCGGCAACAGGAATATATCAGAATAAATAACGAATACTCAGAGAGCAAACTTTCAGACAAAAAAGTATTGGGTCAAATTGACTAATGTAATAGTTAAACGGTCTAACCCATCGAATTGTCAATTTGATCAATGAAATGGTTATCAAAAAGTTACCAAAACAACAACAAAATACACATCACTATTTTGAATAGTTGTTGACCTTTTTTATAGTTACGTAACTATCCGTATTGGTCAATTTTACCCATAACTTTGTTTTATGTGTTTGTATAAAGGCATCACCCAAAAATCGTCGAATTGTGCCGCACGATTGCAATCGATAAAGAGTTAAATTTCTTTTCCTACGCCAACAACATAGTGAAGCATTTCATACTTTTTAACGAATACAATGTGCTTTATAACGAACGCAATGTACCTTTTTACTTTATGAGTTACGATTTTAGGAAACACTTAACGAACTTTAGCTCATTTTTTCGTTGAGAATGTCTAAAACGTGTGGTGATACAACAACTTGGCCATTAATCCTGCTAATGGAACAGATGTGTATTAAAACAATATACTTTCGCAGTTTTATTGCCGCTTGCGGTTCCGAAAATAGTTAAGTTGAGCATAATTTAAATTGCTATTAAAAGCGCACTTTGCGGGCGATAACATACGAGAACATAGAACGAGCTGTGGGGGTATTCCCATATTCCCAGCTACTAATAATATGGCAATTCCGATGAAAATGTTCAGCCAGCGAAAGGACGTTTGTGACCCGGCCAGCACACAAGCTCTGTGCTCCGGGCTGGCAATTTATGACAGGGTAATGTCAAGCGACGGCCGTAAACGAAGGCAGAAGTTTAAAAATTTAATCAAATTTATTGTCACACAGCACCGGAGTAGGAGTATGTGTGAAAATGAGTGGAGGGATCCCACAGCCTCCTCTGGAGGGCCTAGAAGTGGGATAACGGCCTTTAACGAGCGCTTAAATGCTCGTCTCGTGCATAATTTACGGCACTTAAATTGACCTTTTTAGCAGCAGGCGGACTCCCATGGTCCGGGTCAGGCACCTAGAAGAGCACCAGGAAGTGAAACACTCGATGACCTCCATGGAGTGTCCGCCCTCGAGAGCCGTGATAATTCCGTGTTCTAAGTGGAGGTCTATGCAAATGCGCACTTTCCATTTCCCATAAAGGACTTAGCACGGAACCCTTTCATGTAAATGAGTCGCTTCGGGACTGCCGTCGGCGTCTTCGGAGAAGGACCTACTCCCCTCCCTAATTGGAGCAAAGACAAGGAGCATTACATTCTGCTAGATGAAAGAGAGTCTGCTGCCAGAGGCTCTCTGTGATTTCCACGGGGATTCTACGGATGACTCTGCTTTGCGGGTGTGCATTTGTCATACACGTCACGTTATCCACTCGCATCCACGGAATTCGAGGAGGCTTTTGGAAAGAATCTCCACTGGGACTGTTCTATATTTACAGCCATCAGACATTCGCTGCAGCCTTGGAATATGTGTGTTAGGAACGTACTTTAAGCCGGCATTAAAGGCGAATTAGAAGAATTGATTTGCGCCAGCTTGCCTTGGGCTGCCTAGAATTTTTGCGTCCATAATCCGGGGATTATTCACAGCCTCGGCAGCTGGCGAGGGTTGGGGGACCACCTAGCCACGGGGAGTGCTCTTAAAGCCGTCGATGCGAATGCAAATGAAAGTAAAAACGCTGGGGGCTTTATTTCGCTATTGTCTCCCGGTTCACCTCTCCTCTTCATGGGGAACTTAGTTAGGGCCCCTCCAGGCTCTGGGATCCAGCCACCCATCCAATTCACTTCCGCGACTTAGGATGGAGTCGTCGACACTCGAATCCCTTCGTGCGTGGCAAACGTGGCCGTGCAAATTGTGTGTGACGCAGTTTGGGGGCTTGTGTAAGCCCAGTAGTTGAACTAATCTCGTGTGGCGCCTCCCCCGGGAACAGTCACAACTAATAAAGCTCAGGCATCTGTGCCACAATGCCCCTTGACCCCCGGGACACCCAAATTTAAACAGGAGGCTCTTACCGTAGTAGTAGGACTGGGAGTGGTGCTGTTGCTGCTGCTGGTGCGGATTGTGCTGGTGGGTCACAATCGGGTCGAGAGACTGGCAGTGGCCTCCGTTGGCCCGCCGCTGGCTACCGGGTCCCGCGGCGGAGGCGGAGGTCACCTCCGGCCCACTGCTGCCAAAGTTCATGGCCCGCTCGTTGCGCATGCTCACGTACAGAGTGCGGGTGATGAAGAGGTAGGTGAAGCTCAGGGCCAGCAGGGGCAGCACCAGGAGGGCCAGGTCCAGGAACAGGTTGTAGGCCCGCTCGTAGTTGAGGCTGTCCGCCGGCCATTGCTCCCGGCACTTGCGCAGTCCTGCGGGGGAAACAGGGGGGATGGGGTCCCAGATTAGCCGCCTCCAGCTGGAGGATCCGGGCCAGGATCACCGGTTCACACTCACCTGGGCGGCTGGTCGGCATCAGCTGGCTGAAGGCGGCAATGGGCGTCATGCACACCAGACTGCCCAGCCAAATGATGGCGATGATCTTGTTGGCGTGGTTGATCGTCTGCCAGGTGCGCGACCTCAGCGGATGGCAGATGGCGTAGTAGCGCTCGCAGGATATGGCCACCAAGGTCCATGAGGAGACGGCCACGGAGGCAGCTGCAAGAAATATGAAGTTTGATCATACAGTGAAGGATTGGAACTAAACACAGGAGACATTTCAAAATGCTATATATATAAATAGTCATATTAGGCAATATCATACTTTCCTAGTCCTCAGCTCAACGATCTTTACCATCTACTTAGTAAATAGTATTTACAGCCAAATAATTATTGTTCAATATCTTAACCACAACCTTTCAAATTAGTACAGCATATACCAGCCTCAAATTTAAATGCTACACATATGATAGTTTAGTTCTTCAAGAAAATTTGTTGTATAGTGCAATTCTTTTTTAAAGTGTTTAATTTTAAGTTTTTTTCAAGTTCGGATCAACCCATTTCGGACTTCAAGGGCTCCTTTTACTAATAATAATAAGAATAGCACGCACATTGTATTTAAATAATCAATTTAAAATCGGGATACGAATGGTCAAGTTAGGGTCACCTCGTTGAAAGGCTTTGAAAACTTGAATAAATCTCAAAAAAAAAAAAGGGGAGGAAAACAGACCAATGATAAAACGAAAGATAATCTTTGTGCAACAATCCATATAATTGACCAAAACCCATTGTGGTGATCCTTTGTAAGAAAACAGTTTTGCTATTAAGAAATCTAAGAAGCAAATCGAGTTTTCATAATTCTTAATACTCGTTTATTTTTTAGAAAAAATTCATAATCAACTTTGTGGAAAGAAATTACTTAAGTCAATTTCCTAGTAGAATCAAAAATATTGCAAACCTACTGCTGCCATTTGCCACCCTCCGTAAAGTTTCGACTTTTATGGCCCCAATATTAATGGCCATTTCCGGACTGCCCTTCGTTTCCCCCATAAAGTTTTATTCGGGCACTCATTGGCAATTGTTCCGCTTGGACCACGACTCCATTGCGTCCCCGGGACAATTAAAATGTTAATGTCTTTGTCAGCTCCAACTTGTTTTTTCGGGACGGCGCTGTGATAGCAATGGTGCCGCATTTAATCAAAGTCCCTAGCCAACACGGACGGTTTTCAAGTGTGGCCGGCAATGGGCCATGGTCGTTCTAATCGCCATCACAATCGCAGTCCCCAATCCGAATCCCAATGCCCAGCCTAATCCTGGCCGGAATCAACAGTGCAATAAAGGCCGAAACATACACATTCGCATAACTTGGTAAGTGGATTCTGGGACCACCTCAAAAACGGGTTGAGTTAGGGCTTGGGCTCGGGTTTTGGCTTATATAAAATGCGGCTGGCCTCATTGGCGGGATGATGAAATGGAACGTAGCGGAACGGGCAAGCTCATTAACAAAATTAAATTTAGCTCGGTCGCGAGGCTTCTCCATACGCATCCTTTACCCTGGGAAAACGGAGCCTAGACCGTAGACCGTTGACCGTGGACCACGGACCATGGCTCAGTGATTTCGAGTCCGCAACAAAAATGTAAATTTTATGGAAATGCTGAAAATAGATGCCGGACCGCAAGTGGGGCAACAATGAATTGAATGAAACGCAAATACTCGAACGCCCACGGACTATTGAAGGTGGGGCATATGGGGGTTAAAATGGCAATGGCTAAGCGGAAAACTGTGTCGACGGCAGTCGTAAATAGAATCGCTGATTGAACACAAACATCGGAGAGCATCGGGAACTTTGACTTGACGTCGTGTTTGGGTTCTACGTGCTCCACACGAACTTTCCATAATGCCAGCTAAGTCCTACACATCTCGATGATATCTCTGATAATCGCTCCTTAAAACCTGTTTTACTGTCCTTACTTTTTTTCTGGATTATTTTGTCGCAGTCGTAAAACAAGCTAAGCTCCCTGGGACCCTGCTGAATGGTGGAATAAAATTATTAAATATGCATTTCAAGTCTGTTAGACAGTGCTGTCAACGACCTATTTCAAAAACATGACAGATCGGTACAGAAAAAATCGCTATACAAAACTGACAACCTTTCTCCAATTTTGCTTCGTCTTAAAATGAATGAAATATGAATCTGTATAAATAAAATGTATTAGAAGGTTAACATACAAAATCAATTTCAGGCGCAGAAACATGACTTTTAAGCTGCGATTAAAATATAAATAAATTTGGAAAACCATTTCAAGCACTTTAAAATCATAAGTACATTACAGAAACCGTATAAATTGTAATAGGTTCGGTAATGTGTAGTTCACTCCGTTGCAAAGATCTGACTGAAATTATAATGCCCTTTGCAAGGGTATAACAATGATTTCAATAATCAATGAATAATTCGGCGCTCATTAAGTAAATTAATTAAAATGCTTCAAGGACGAACTACGAACAGAGGAATGCGATGTTCCACAAATTTTCCGGCCAGGTTCTGTCCGGAAAAATGACAAATTGATGGCTCTGTCGACGAACAGCCATCTCGAATGGAGCCTGTGTCCACATTCGGTCGACAAGAGGCTCTCAGGTGCCCAAAGCCAACTCGGGTCGGGAAACGACAATGAGCTGGGTTCCCGTTTCCCTGGTGGCAACATCCCAAATCCCCACCTCCTCGCAGCCTGCACTTCGGTGCGTGTTCGAGTGACAAACTCGAAATGGTTTTGCCATGCAGAAATATCCTGGCGATGGAGTGGGTGTGGATACAACTTTATGTGTGCCTCAAATTGTGGGAAACCCAATGAAAGACCGGGATTTTAAACGGAAAATCTAACATTTTACTTCCTTTGTTGCACATTCCACCGAAGGATGGAGCATTAGTATCGTTTGGTCTGTGGATAGCCTAAAGAACTTGAGGCTAAAAGGTTTTTCCCTTCGTCTTCTGGTGCGCAATTAAATATACCACTTCCATGGCTCATATTTCAACTGTTTATTGTCGCCTACGGCTTTTGGCTAAATTATATTCCGAAAAGCTCAATCCACAATGAAGAATACCTGACACAAATGATGGGGTTGAGGTGAAAAGGTCAGTGTGAACTTTTCTGGCTTTTCACGCTGCATGAAATGAACTTTCAACTTTCATAGCTGCTAATTGTGCTGTGCGTACTGTTCAGGAGTCCTGGTTACCACCCATCCTTCCCAAAAGCCAAGTGGCTTCTCTGAGGGTTGTGGCCAAACATTTTCTAGCTGGTTATTTGCTTTTCGATCTTCTGCAGGTTCTGCGCTCACCTTTCGACTCTATTTGGCATGGTAAAAGTTACATTAAATTAAGCTAACAACCGCAAAAGTATAACTGGCCTCTGCCCAAGAGAACCGGCTGCAGTTCGACAGGCTTTCATTTCTGGGAAGCCACCTGCCACGGGCAATTTGGCTGCACTCGGGGGGTTTTCACCTAACCTACACAGGAAGAAAATCTGTCACGATTTTCGGACTATTTTGTACGAATTTTGTTTCAAACCCCTTTCTAAAATTGTTCAATGGTATGCAGCGAAAAAGGAAATAAATACTTTCGAATTACAAATATGTAGCATACTTTTAGATACTTTTATAAGTAACATCCCTTTGTGATTAATAATCACTATGCGTAGAGGTAGGAACAATGCAAATATCTATTTAATTTTTCTGTGCACAAGTCGACAGCAAAAACCAGGTAAATAAACGCAACCGTTGAGTGCGGTCTTGTGAACAGTCTCTTTAGCCTTTGAGGTGGCCAAGGATGCCAAGTTCAGCTCCGGACCGCCTCTACAAGTCGTTTATTTGGTTTGTAATTTACGCCAAAGTTGTGGGGTCAAAGGAGAAAGTTGAGTACCAATTAAAAGTACTGGCACCTCCAAAGGAGATTCATCACATCAAGCACGAAAAGGATAGTAGTTTGCAGTCCAACTTCCTTTGCTCGGATCAGATTTAAAACTTTGATCCGAACCCCTTGCTGCATTATGGTTTCGCCTGATTCGTGGGAGTAATTTAATGCAAATAGTGTGGAGCACAATGGAAAGCAACCACAGAGCGTGATGTGGCAGCAACTAATTGCTGGCCCCGCGTTTTGGCTGCGAGAGTGGATCGAAACGTTTGCCGGGTGCCGAATGCTTATGGCTTTAAAACTATTACGGCTAACCTCTGGGGCTGGATTAAAATGCTTTTCATTTTCTGCGTAAATATTTGGAGTCCAACTGGCTCACTCCGGCAGCAGGTTTGTTTGAACAGGATGTGGATAAGTGGACATACAGCAGATATACGCTCCATGTGTTTTCCACGGCTGACGTAAATATTTAATGTAATTTATATGCGAAAATTGCAGTACAAAACAGCTTCATAAATTATGGTTATCAAATTCGAAATGACTTTAAGCGGCGCATGCAAATCGATTGCCAAACATATACCATTTTCAATTTTCCAACGCAGTGCCGCCTCCTGTCCCCACGACGGACGGATTTCAAACCCAATCCAATTCCGCATTGCCCTCTGGTCGTTGGTTTTGATTTAGCGCCCCATTCGCAACTCAATGACAATAAGTCCATCTTTTGCCATTTCCAGTTACAGTTGCACAACTGGCAGACATAACTGAAAGTGGAATTTCATGGACTCGACGCGGCCCGATGTGCGTGTGCCTCTGTCGAGTCCTCAATAAAAATAATTCCAAATTTGAGACAACAATAAAAAACGTTTGGGCAAAAGTTTGGCCTGTCGACGCAGAAAAGATTGAAAAAGCACAAGTATATCGGGATGGATGATATGGACGAGTCATTGCCCTCTACTCCAGGCCCGCACAAAATGTGGCGCCCACGATGGATGGGGGTATCAGATGGTCGATTTGCCGCTTATTGTTATTTTTCCGGACTTCTTCCTTTTGATTTCGCCTGACGCTCGCCTTGCAAAATTGTGAAATTATATAAAAATTGGGTCCTATTGTTTTCCCCGTATTGATGCGTAAAGTTATGGCCAACGAAGAGCAACTTTTCCGCCTGAGGGCCCCTGCCTATATGTACTCATATGAGTGTCTGCGTGGCATAAAAGAGCCATAAACCGAGCGGACCCAAGCGAAAGCCCCCAATCGACATGAATTTGTAAGGGCAAATTTTAAAACACAGCAAATTAAAATGTCCTACACAGCTAT